CTCTGACGGGATTGATTAACGCCAAAACTTTATCCTTTTATCCTTTAATTATTATCCGCAAAATAACCTTGGTGCAGTTAGGTCGCTGAGTGAATTTTTCGACGGGTGACCCTCGTCGCGAGCGAAAAATTGGCGCAAAGCAACGAGTGGCGAGGACCACTGCAAATACACGGGTGTGGCGCATTAGGAACGATATGGTCGCATCGCGGTGAGAGGGGCGTCGCGCGCGAAGGTGTAGCAAGATGCAGCAGTAGGTAAGAAATACAAGAACAAAAGTACTAATAGTAGAATTATGCATAAAATAATGATCGCATATCGACTGAGCTGTATGAAGAACGCTGGAGCTGTAATAACGGCGAATGAGTGGTCCGCGACAGCCGCGTGCGGCGAATCGATTGCCCAAAATCGTTCCTAACGCCCGCCTCCCCAAATACACTTCCCGTCGGGTACATGCAGCTACTATTCAATATCACCAACTGCACCTGCTAATTCAATCCTGCCAAACAAAAACGCTGTATTAGGATTACGTTGATGCTTTGCACAGATCCTTTAGTTGTTATCTTATGCTCATGATATACGGAGCCCACTATAGAAATTATATGTCAACTAATCCGTTGACATTTCTTATAAAAAGCCAGTATAGGAATAGTTAATGCAATAAATGTCGAAAACATTTCTGTGCAGGATTTACTGTGTTCCACAAAAAAACTGCTTTCAGAAAACAAACTGTGGAGAGCGAGAAAAAGGAGCTCTCGGACTCTGTAAATTCTGTGGCAGGAGTACGGTTGATGCAGTCGTTAACGATAAGGAGATGAAATGAAAAGGTAGTCGAAATCAACCAAAACTAGACCTGAAACTGCACAGGAATTGCAGCGATGCTTTCTGCGAGGCTCAAGGTGTTCGGGAAACGGGCAGTAGGATCGTTTTGTGTAATCGATTCGCCGCTCGCGGCTGTCGGGGTGTGGTGCGTTAAGGATGAAATGGTCGCGTCGCGGTGAGAGGGGCGTCGCGCGCGAAGGAATGTAGCAGGATGCAGCAGTAGGTAAGAAATACAAGAACAAAAGTACTAATAGTAGAATTATGCATAAAATAATGATCGCATATCGATTGAGCTGTATGAAGAACGCTAGAGCTGTAATAACGGCGAATGAGTGGTCCGCGACAGCCGCGCGCGGCGAATCGATTACCCAAAATCGTTCCTAACGCCCGTCTCCCCGGCTGTCGCGGACCATTTGCCTCGTCATCACCCCAGTTCAAGTGCAGGAGTAAGAACGCCGCGACGAGAGAGACGCCGCGCGTTCTTACTCCTGCAGTTGAACTGAAATGATCTGGAAAAACTGAAACTAATGGAACAACTCAGAAAAACTCGCTTGCAAGCCCAAAAATAGCTCTTATGAAATTTCCCATTCATATCGGTTTGTTTACAGCGCCACTTAATTCTGACTCTCATCCGGAGATGATTTACTTGTTTACATTATGTGTATGGAGAGGCACATGGAAAAATGTGCCAATATAACACTTTCATTTAGAGTTAAGTACACAGTAGTAATAAGTATTAACTATATACGAATAGATTCAAGCGAGTCTGTATTCATTTGTGCCGGTAAGGATGGAAAGAAAAGCGCAGAGGTAATTGTTTGACGCAGTAATCTCTATGTTGTAGGTATTGACTGTTTTCTGAATAATCCTTTTCCTTGCAATGAATTGCGGTAGCCAGCCGATGTGCAAGTCAGTGCTTTTATCCTCCCAGATGAGCCTGGAGACCAATTTCGTGATGCCGGAGGTATGGAGGGCTTAGTAGGCTCAGGCCACAATCCATCGAGGGTTTGATACCGGCCCTGATGGTGCACCGTCTTCCACTACACCAGCTCCACAAGCTGACTAGCAGGACGATTCACATTCACTAAGTAAAGGCTGAACGTACTCTACTGCGTGCCCTACAAGTTCGATCTATCTAAATCGTGAAAGTAAATGTTTCACAAAGTTAAAGATAAAGTTAAAACTTAGGATAAGAACCTTCAAAGATGGGTGATTATGATCGCTAAGCTAAAAATGAGCATTTAAAAGCGTAAGCAGACACGAGAACTACAACTAAAATGGGAAGAATTTCAAAGAAAATTTATCATACATTATTTGCAATAATCTCTTAGTATTATTTATTTTCAATATTTGGTTTAGACGTTATCGATAGCTCCTTGCTTTCCGAAGCAAACTCCTTTTCATTAATGAGGCTTATTCCTGGTCGATAAACAGTCTGTACGTCAGGAATGGTAATCGCATCTAAAAAAGTACAACGTGACTTTTAAATAGCTCATTTGTCAAGCTGAAGAATTTCGCTTGAATACTAGTCAACGATTACTTCAGTTTATCGATTTTTGATTGACCTACCATTTTTCCCGATGATATTGGACGTAGGATTCATGAATTGTAAAATACGCCTGAATGACACATTCTGTAGCATGTCGTATTGTGAGTAGACGGAAATCTGAAAGTAAAACCCATCGTTAGTAAAATAAATAAATATTAAATTTAAATTAATAATGATAGAGTACATCATGGAATAGTTACTTGGGTGCTGAAAAAAACCGTTTCAGAAGATATTCGAAACTTTGGGGCATAATTAATGGATGACTGTAAGATGTAGGGCAAGAAAAAAAGTTTTATGGTGGAGCCGCATAAAAATGCAGTACTCGATGACAACTACCTCTATTTTTCTCATGTTTCAGCCCAATGTGGACCATCTCGCTGAAGTCCGAGCCAACGTTTAGTACAGTAGCTGCCAGTGGCTCTATGAAAGTGCCAATCTGACTAGTCCTGATTTTTCGCACGGAGCGAAAAGGATTACGGGACCACAATCCTGGTGTATTTGTCGATTTGGAAGGAACTCGGTACAGTTTAACATTTTCAGAAACACAGTGATGTTATCCGAATTCTTATGGTAGGTAAAAGTATTGAGTCGAAGTATCGATTGTATCGATTGCTCTAGTAAGTTTTCATATAAATCAAGCTCCCAATTAACAGCAAGAGTACTATTAATTTGAACAGAACTCAAAAATGCGTTGAGCGATTTTTTTCATTTTTCATGACCTTCAAATAGCGATAAGCTACTGTCGGTGCTTCCCGGATGTTTAGCTTTATCGGTAAATAAATAGCCAATTATGTCAATAAGCAGTTTACCGCCATAGCAGCTATTTTGGGAACCTTCTAATAAATGGGAAATCGACTGGGCAGAGTTATCAGGGTGAGTGGGTAGAGGTTTCCGACGTCATTCGGCTTCTGAAGCTTCACTTCTGAAGGAAAACCCATACCGTTTTACAAAACACTACATTTTAACACTACATTTCAAAAAGTACTGTCTATCAAAATAAAAAGGGAATAATCCCTGGGAAAGGAATAAGAAATGAAGGCTTTTGAACGGATGTTCTGTAATAGTGCGTGACTGTCTGGTACCCCCCCCCCCCCCAATTTATCTTTTTTTTTCTCCATTTCACCTTTTTAAATTTTA